GATCATGGAGGAAAAGCCATCCGATGAGTTTCCGGAGCGTGCCCAGCATCCGATACGACGATGGTGGATTGGATCAAGTCGGCCTCAACTGTTAAAAAGAAGGGAGATACAGATGAATATGCGCACCTCATGTGGTCCCGGTATCTAGGCTTCGCCTGGCTGCGGCTGCAGATTTTTTGAGACTTTTTCCCGCGCACGCAGTTTCCATTGCTACCATTTTTATTGTTTTTGAGTGGAAGGTTCCGTGGAAAAGGTGGCCGAATTCCACGGGTAAATACTGAGCTGAATGGGCTATTTATTAAGGGCAATATATCAATGATCTTTCAAGTAACAAAAGAGGCAAGGGGCAGGTACAAGGTGTGGCCTGGTGTTGAAGCTTTGTCGTGGTGTGATAGATATGAGAGTGAGGTTTATGGGTCACGATGTATGAGATAACTGAGGTGCGGATGTATGGGTTCCTTACTATTGTTATTGTACTAGTTAGGGTTGTATTGTCTATATACAAAAGGGAAATCTCCATCTACAAGTGGGCCAGATCGCTTAGATCCGGCTAGCGGCTTTCGCCATCCTGTTCCTTCTCCCCCGCATGGCATCACTTGCTACACAACTACTGCTCACTATGAAGTCCGAGGATGAAAAGCGCTAGATTACAACACCTGGACCAGAAAGTAGCCCAATCTGCTAGACAGTGTAAGACTCAAGCAGTACACCAAACACACTTCTCTCTGTCTCCAATAGTGGTCAGTGATAAATTAATGGAGCTTAATTCGGCGATCGACGGTTTAAGTCTCAGATGGTGGAATGCGGAGGCATGAAGACGTTGAAAAAGAAAGCTCCTTCCGATAAGTAAGTCCCAGGGGAGCAAAGGGGATATTCGATCGACAAGGTTAAGATTATGCACATCATTTAGAAGTAAAACCTGCCCAAGGTTAATGAAGAGCTAGGTTCTACGAAAACTGCCACTTGTGATAAGTAGATGAATCTATGTATGCCAAATACAGGTAAATAACATTGATGAAAATTGGGCAATAATTTAGCGTAGCTGCTGGCACACTGTTATGCAGAACTTCAAAGATGTGTCGTTTGCTTATCTACTTGTCACCCAGTAATCTGCAAGAACAACATTTAGTCAATTACCATTTCAACATGGGATAGGTCACACTCCTTAACAACGGGCCTTCGACATCTCAGACATTTAATACAGTTACGATAATGATCTTCAGTTTGAGGAAATATAATGCGATACAAAGTGCCACGTCGGTAGCGATGAAGTCTTAGTCAAAGCCTGCCCATTGACAACCATTGGCGGCCGGACAAAAATTACACGAAATAAATATGCGGGGCCATTTTGTCACTGAGGTCTTGAGAGATTAACTTCGTAAATAAGACATAAATCTTTTGTTAAAATGTGATTTTATCAGCCGGAAGGGCTCATACATTGCATGGATTACTCGCGACATCAGTATCACCTCGACAATTGGGCGCGTAGCCAATCTCCTTTATGGTAGCCATTCTCGACCAATGGTTTTTCACAATATAAACATGGCCTTCACACATAGTAAAATATCGCAGGCTTGTAGCCTGAGCGAAAATAGCCACGCCAAGAATCGAAGCCGAGATACTAACGAGTGGAATAAAATCTGCAGGATCGAAAAGATGAGGCGTAGATAAAAAGAGGCGGGTAAGATAGGTCTTTCAAAGCTATGATGAACAGCCCGGATGACATGAAAATAATCACAGAGCGGATACTTACTAACTGCTGGCTTAAACAGTTCCGACTTGCAGAAGAAGTTGAGACGGAAGTCAGTGAAAGGACTGAGCGATCGGGCAAAGGATAGGACGGTATTCACACTGGACGTGCAGTGTAAACGCACTGCCTGTAGAACATCTCAGAAAGCCAATAAACACGAGAAAGACAGTTTTGGGGGGGTTTTACCTAGTTGGTTTCCTCCCTTGTAAATATTAAAGCTTGATATACCTGCATGGGCCAATGGGGTACCTGAACGGGCTAAGTGAAATCAAATCAAAAAGATGGCCTTCGTTTAATCCTGCGCTCGAATCCAGTAAGAACCATAGAGTCTGGGAGGAGAGGGGACTGGTTTAATATAGAAATAGAGCTCTTGCGCCAGACTAACATGCGTATCCGAACGATCTGAAGGGAATAGCAAAGACTGTGGATCTGGCCCTATCGCTATAACTTGGAGGGCACGACTTGCGGTGAGTTTTACAAACTTTACAAGTTGCCACACACTCGCCAATAGCCTTCGATCTATTTGAGTGGAGGGGTTGGGGAGGGCCTAGAGATCTTCCAGATAATTTTGGAATGTAAAGTATCAAGGAAATTTAGCAATCCTAAGTGTGTAGCCCAAAAAAACCTACATATCCGATATCGTCATGCATCGAAAAAAGAACAATAACACAAATTTGAAATTGCACGGCAATGTTAGTTATGCAAGTAAAACGTCGATCACTCGTCATCATCGCGATTGTGTGCACGACAATATGATACCGATAGGGCACGCGACTAATGCAGCCTTCACGTGATATTAATAGATGGATATTCGCCTACTCCTATCTTGTAAGTACAATATATATTCTTATCTACATGAATCAAGTCAAATCTAATCAATAACCCCCAATCCTGGGATCAAGAAATAATAGTGTAATCCTAGTATTGTAAATGCTAAGAGCGGAGCTACATGCCATTTTATGCTTTCTCGAAACTTTATTCCACTCATTTGCCATGAAATTTTTAATAGCCCAACTGGTTAGCGTCTTAGCCCGCCTAAACTTTAGACGTCGAAGTTGAAGAATCTTTTGATATTGTTTACAAAATTTACTGAGATTTTTGATGGGTTTAAGTTGAGGTTGTAATGCGAATATTAATTACTAGCCCCATGGTTACCCTATCAATAATCTCTCGAGATTTATCTCGCCAGATCTCTTATGTTTCCATCAATATTTTATACACGTTTCTAGATACTGTGATCGACTTCATGGTCATGACATACGCCCTGATGGATTTCTGAAGCAAGTTAAGTATTTTAAAGTCGTTATTATATCTATAGTCTTTATCTAGAATTAGCAGGTTAATTCCCGAATAAGTATTAATGGGAGGAATAGAGCCGTCACAGCACGTGTCTTTCAATCCCCCAACTATGGGACCCTTACAAAAAGGTTCATACTGCACGTTCAAGATTTGTCGCGTATTACTGTAGAATCGCTCTATTATATTAAAACTACAAAGGTATAAGCTTCACCCAATATGATGTAAAAGTATCTACTAAGGTTTAATTTATTTTTGAGTATGGTCCAGCGGCGCGCGCCAGCTTATAGGAGGTTAATTCATCGCTTTCATCGTCTTTTAAGATAGAACCATCGTCGCTATGATTCTCATATTGATTTTGTTTCCTTGTCAATATCTGGTTCAGATCCTGCCGCGAAAGCTATGGCGTGATACCCAATGTTATTTTGATTTTCCGCAGCTAAGATCGATTGGCCTAGTCTAGAGTCATGTTCTTCCCGAGTGCAGAGGTTTTGGTCATGATACATAAGTGAACAAAATCTTATGATGGGCTTCGTTAATCGCTGAAGTCAACTATGACTAGATAATGGTTCATGATGCTGATCTGATGTCTCTTGCAGTGGTGATTGTTGCCGTATGGTGTCTAATGTGGATACATCATTTCTGTTTGGTGACCTTGTCAGAGGTAGTGACAAGGTTGTGTTTATAGAAAGCAATCATTCAACTATGATAGATGAAATTTGAGGTTAAAGTTCCTGGTGGAGTAGTTTTGATTCAGTTCTTGTCAAAAAAATTGATTTTGCTCTGGAATAAATGTGGTTGATCGATTCCTCTGAATCTAGCGGCGCAAACTTGACATTGAGAGATTTTACCACTTTATTTTTTGATGGAACCCATATTTGAAGTATTTTAGTGCTCTCCGTGTAGCCCTTAAAACCTACTTCATTTGACTTTAGTAATAGCTTTGAACATTAGGGTTGCGAGTCCTTGTGTATGTGAGCGAAGTATTTTCTATCTAAAAGTTGAAGGTATTTAATTATAGGTTTCTTGACTTGTAAGGCCTCAAGGAGCATTGTGTAACTTGGTAGCAGTAGTTGAGTAGGGCAATTCTGGAGAAAAATGGCAGATAATATAGCTTCTGCCCATATAGGTTTAAGCCAAGGTGCGCTATCAGTGTTCTGGCTATTGTGAGTAATATTTGGTTAAATAGTTCAGAAATTCTGTTTCTCATATTCATACAGTGGTGTAAGTTCATGCAAATTATCTTCGGCTTAAAGGACGAGTTGAGGATTTTATTTATGAAATTTCCTCCACTATCGGTTCTCCATCGCTTGATTTTTGTATCAATCTATCCGTGAATGAGTTTCAAAAAACCAATGATGGCTTGAGCAGCATCAGATCTAGTGCGCAGGAATTCCACTCATAAAAATCGTGTTTTTTCGTTAATGAAGTTGATGTAGTGATTCTTGCCACTTAGGGAAGGAATAGAAAGTTTGCCTGAAAGATCTGAATGAATAATCATAAAAAGGATACTGGCACCCTCATGGACTAGATCAGGAATAATTTATTTGGACTAAACATTTTCGCACACCTGGCAGCGGAAGTTGAGTAACCGTGAAGGAATGTTGGAGTCGTTGGAGTAAATTTTAGGAGAAGTTTTTATAGTCGTAACACCAGGGGGTCCTAAGACTTCATTAGACTCACGGCAGGAGGTGCGGAAGAGTAGCAGAAGTAAGGATTAATACCATAGCCAGATCTGGAAGATTAGGTCTCATTTTATTATGGTCCATACATTCTTGTAGGATAGAACACTGGAACACAATGATACAGTTTATCATACACTGAGATAACTTTCGCGTCCCTGCAGATAAATTAGCCACAGCCGCCCAAGTATTCTCCGACCCCTTGAATCTAAGATTCCTCACTTGATTGAAGCCCCCAAAATTTAGACCACATATACACCAATCCATCTTCATTAATGGTCTATTTCATCCTCATCTTCTGTTTCCACGTCCGACTCCTCAGCTTCATCATCAATAAGACCCTGATTATCACTGCTATCCTCTTCTTCGTCTTCCGAATAGGTGGTTAATCCGTTTATCGTTGGCATATCCTCTGATATGTCACTTTTTGCATCAAAAGTACAGTCGGAATTTCCGTTCCCCTTCAGAGTTACTAAAGATTTTGGCTTTAGAGCTTCTTCTTCCTGATCTTCGACATAAATTACTCCACCTTCATCTTCATCTTCACTTTGCTGTCTACGGTTGGGTTGTAAGCTCTTGCGGAACTCCATCTGAGCTTCGAGCATATCAAGCCTTCCTTTAAGCGCCAAGACATTTTGCAATCCTCTAGATCTTTTATCAATAACTTTTGTAAGCTCTGCTAAGCTCTGTACAAGGTCCTTTTGCGTAGCCAGATAACCACCGTGAGCGACGAGTGTCCACTGGATCCAAACCATGAGGTTACCTGCCCGTCCTGGACGTTTATGTAGTCTTTCAGATAGCTTTAGGAGGAGTTTGGCCGCACGAGAGGACTCGAGTCGTTGTACTGTTCCACGTATTGTTGGAATATCGGAGGTGTGGAGACATGTCTCTAGAAGAGCCGTGTCATTTGTCCGTAGTGCTTGAGTCAAAACAGCCCCAAGTGAGGCACCGGAAGGCGGCTGTAATGCGCTTGTAGGATAATTGGTATTCAGTGAATTGGGTTCACCAAAAGCGCCGGAAACGTCGATTGGTTCCGGTATGTTAGCCCGGACCAGATCACCAAATGAAGGCTCGCCAATTTGTTCCATCTCTTGATGAGTAATATCCTCGTCGATAAGGCTAGGATTATTCATATCCACGTCTAATTCTTCGGTAGAATCTTCGGCAACACTGCCTTCATCTTCCAATCTCCCCTCATTATCTGGATGTTCTATAAATTCCTCGTTCTGGGACTGAGGGAATTGCGCTTTCCATGATTCAATACCGCTAGATACGACAGTTCTCGATTCATTCAGGGCGCCTTTTCCTTGTACCTTCACGCTTTGTTTGAGCATCGGTTGAGCGAGCTGCTGATGAAGTTTTCGCTTTGTTGACATCGTAAGGCTTGTGTCAGGTGAAGGGAATACGCTCGCCTAGCAGAATTGAAAATTTATTGTTGCGAAACTGATGCTAGGAAGTTCGATTTCGATTTTGGATTCAGTTCTGACTTGCAAGAATTTTCATATACTGCGTCAATGCTCGCAATTCTCAAGTTTTCATGGCGCAGGGATGTGCGTGCACAGACCTCCCAAACTAGCGGCAAATAATATATGAGGCGAGTCGAGGCGCCAGGTCCACAGTATCCGATGACTCATCATCATTAGTCGCTATAATTGGCTGACATAGCCACACTAGACAGGGGCATGCATATCTCTAGCGCGAAATTGAGAGCTTGATAAATCTCATAAATTATAAAGTCCTTTTGCCTTCCTCATACAAAATTTTTCATCGCGTGTATTCCATCAGGCCACATGACCCAGAACCATAACAAGCCGGCCCCGTTATTAAAACACTAAGTCAAACCCCAGTCTAGGGTCGCACCTCAAAACACCGATGATAGAAAGCTTGATAATCCTGCGCGCCACATCATCACACCAATTATTTTATTCTTGGACTACCTATAGATTCTTGTCACTAGTCTCTTTTGTTAGTTGACTGCGACAATCCATCTATAACGATACTCAACCATTCACAGTTGCGATATTCTTAGATACGATTAGGTTCCCAAATAATCCAAACTCTTATACCCATTAGTGATCAACTTCTTCCGCTACGCGCATTTATAGTCTGGCATTTAAGCATACTATTGGCATCGCCTCCACGCAGACTTGCAAAGTTCAAAGTTATAACCTCAATTGATCTTTTTGAACAGAAGCCTCACGGACCCACGATACTGACCATTCTATTTCTTGATCAGCTCTAGGTCTACTACAAAATTTTGAGTCTCCTAATCTGCACAGTAATAGAAGGGATTATTACTTGATGGCAATTATGACCCCTGAACTACCAGAAAAGGTTTCAATTGAAAACAAGATCCAACCCGCTCTATCTACGGAGATGATGGCTTTGGATATAGAAGTCCATGGGTGAGTCTCGGATTCCTCTCTATACTCCTCATTATTATCACTCACTCTCACACTTAAACTTGAATTGTAACTTATACTTGAAACAATTTCTTACAGAACATCCGATGGAGATGAAATTCATGATGACGCTTCCAATAAATCTTCTTTGACAAAAAATGAATCCTTGATAGTAGACTCGGTCGCGCCTGATACACTTGTGATGAATGGAGACTCGAACACAGAGGATTTACAAACTAACAAGGCCCACCTACCGACACCTATAGATACCATTTCTGAATCACTGTCTGAGCCTTCCCCATTCTCTGCGCCCGCGTTAGAAACCCTTGAACGAATCTCAACTACGCTTGACGAACAATCTTCCACCGCGCCAAAGACCCACTCTCCCCACATGGAAACAAATATTCCTACAGAATCTGTTACTGAGCTCCAAAATGTTGATGAACCGAGACCCTCCTTGGAAGCAGCCAGAGAAGAGCATACCTCTGAAAAATCCTTGTTCGCATCGCCTCAAGAATCTATTGAACCTATACGCATGCGAACTATTTCTCCTGTTCCTAAAAATGAAGAAGTTGTTGAGAAAGAAATAGCGGAAACTATCGTGTCAAACGAACCCAGTACTGGAATCAATATCGATCCCTCTAACGGATCAGCCGAGATCACATCGTCACCCCAAGAATTAAATCAACCTGGATCTCATGAGAGCTCATCACTACCAGTAAACATCAAGCCCGCTGAAGATTCCCTGGACGTCGAGCATCACGACACCATAATGTCAGATATTTCCGAGAAATCTACTAAAGTTCCTCGTGGACGTGAGAATGATGATGAACTAGAGCCGTTAGCTAAGCGCACAAAAATAACTGAAGAGGTAACCGCACCCAAGAATTCGTCTATTCCGCCAGAATCAGATAAGAACAGCTCCCACATCTCGAGAGAAGATCATTCCAAATCGTCCACAGTAATGACGAAGATAACCCCCTTCCAGTCGAAAGAGTTGATCAAGATCTTGAGAAACATATCGAGAACTAACGCCGGAAAAAATTTTAGACAACCTGTCGCAGTCCTGTGGCCTTCAATTGCAGAAAATTATGCAGCCAAAATAACAAACCCTATGGACCTCTCCACCATCGAAAAGAAACTTAAAGACGAAGCCTACCTTACCATCTCAGAAGTTAAGAATGACGTACATCTTATATACAATAACTCAGTAATTTTCAATTCTGCAGAAAACCCGGTGACAAAATGCGCTATGGAAACTAGGAACGCGCTCTTCAGTAAATTCTCAAGCATACCTCCCGAGCCTGCTCCTCCAGCCAAAAAGGAGAAGAAAGTCGTCAAGCGGCCTATCGCGGCACCCGAATCTACGGCTCGAGTGCCCATTAGCAAAAAGCAGCAAAAGGACCCTACGTCTTCTCCTGTTCAAAACACCACACAGGTACCAGCTCCAGCATTTGCTTTAGATCCGATTACAAATACTCCCTTGATACGACGAGAATCTTCCAAAGGAGATGGGGGTCGTCCCAAGAGAGAGATTCATCCTCCTAAAAGTAAAGATTTATCCTACACCGCGAGACCCAAGAACAGAAAACATCTTACAGAATTAAAGTTCTGTGAAGATGTTCTCGTCGAATTGCAAAAGCCGAAGTATAACAGCATCAGTCACCCTTTTATGGTTCCTGTCGATCCGGTGGCGCTCGGAATTCCCAACTACTTCGCAATAATAAAGAAACCAATGGACGTCTCTACAGTAGCGAAAAAATTGAAAGACTGCCTATATTCAAATGCCAGTGATTTCGAGAAGGATATTCGACAAATCTTCATCAACTGCTACAAGTACAATCCTGATGGAAACCCAGTGAGACAAATGGGAAAAAGTTTTGAGGAAGTGTTCAATAGCTTCTGGTCAAAGAAAGAGCAATACCTTCTCGATAATTCTCCATCTGCAGCAACCCCAAGTGATAGAGATTCTGAGGAAGATGAATCAGAAGAGGAAGAAATTCTTGATCCAGCATCTGTTAATGCGTCCTTGATGAGCCAAAAAGAACGCCTACTAGAAGAGCAGTCTAAGCTTATTAATATGATGGGTGCTAAACACAAAGATGAAGGATTACTCCAAATGCAAACGGATCTCGTCGAGCTTATCCAGAAGCGGGTGAAAGCAGCTGAAGATCAAGCTCGAAAGGTTATGAATAAAAAGAAGGTAACAAAAATTGCAAAAAAGCCCCTACCCGTCAAAAAACCAGCGCCCATAAAGAAGCCTGTCGTAAAAAAGAGGTATCTCGGGACTTTAGAAAAAGAAACAATATCGGCTGGACTAGGATTACTTCCTGCTCAAATCATGGCTACAGTTGTCGATATGATAAAAACAGAGCGCCCGGAACTTGAGGTAAGGCCAAGCATTCCAGTGCTAAAGCATAAATTCCTAACTGTCCATTAGGACGCAGGTGATGAAACGATGGAACTCGACATCGACAGCATTAGTGACAATATTTTATGGCAAATACATGCATTAATAATGAAACATGTTCCTGAACTTGAAGCTCAAATTCGGGATTCAATGAGCAGTGAGCCACGTCAGGCTACCCGAACCGCAAAGCCCGCTACCAAAAAAAAAAACAAGCCTATGAGCAAGCATGAACAAGAGCGTAAGATCGAGGCTCTAACAAATCTTGATTCAGAGTTCTCCCGCGCTGGGTTTGGGTCACTTGAACCTACTGTACCCCAATTCGCTAGCTCTCCTCACCAGAATACCAATGCGACTTTGGGCCTTGAATCAAGTGGTGATGAAGATTCCGATTCTGAAGAGGAATAAAATTTCTCTTTAACGTCTATCGTTCACTCACAGAAGCACTATTGGCGCCAGTATTTGGCAATCAAACCCTCCAAGATCATCATGCCCACCACTTTTCCGGAATCTCTCAAGTATTGTAATGTAGCTAAGATTGCTTTATCGTTAGTATGAAGCTCCCTCGAAGCTTCAATTCTCAATCGATGCTCTGGGAGGATTACGTATAATCTCTAATGCCAAAGTTGGATTCGCAGTGAAAATCACTTGTAGTTTTACCGGGGGAACATCAGAGTTAGATCCTGAACGGCTCAGGAAACTGGCATACAAAACATGTGGCAAACCAGATATCCGAAGATCAGGATTATTCCCAGCTGTGCCATACGCCTTCATCTGAAAGAGGCCCATTAAGAGATAATCTGTAACAATAGATATAGATGAGAAGGGGCGGCAAATGACCAGCTCGCGACACAGGGGGAGGAACAGAGTTGGGCTTTATCACCCAAGAAAGGAGTTTGCGTAGACATGAATAATAAAGTATTAGGTGGTAGCGGAAAAGTTAACTCTCACAAACAAAAAATAAGTCTCTATCTCGTAAAATGGGAAATAGTAACATCGCATGACAAACAAATATGATGTCCTCCCACTAGCACGTTTAATTGGTGTTATGACTTTTCTGCAGCAGGGGTATATGCGGGTGAAAGCTGTACCGATCAAAGGGGAAGTCGACTAAGTTACTCAGTTGTTCGGCCAACCGGTCTACAACCTTATTTCCGCAAGCATCGTCGGAGTCATGCACATCGTCACTAACTAATCCAGCAATGCAGCCTGTCAAGACGGCATCCTCGTGCCCCCTGTATTCTTTGGCAAGATCTGGATGGGGTATCCAGATAACCCTCATACCGGCTCTAAGTGCTGCAGCAACGCCAGGAATGCCATCTTCAAACACCAAGCACTCTTCTGGCGAAATTGGCCGTTGATTTTTCGGAAGCGACTCATTAAGCGCAGCAAGGGCAATATTATAAATGTCGGGGGCAGGTTTACCGCAATTTTCGGGAATACGTTTATCGTCTCCAAGAATGCGGAGCGGTGCGGGAAAGTGATCGAAGATGTGGGCGAGGTGAGCCGTTTTAAGGCGGAAATGGGCTTCAGAACTACTTGTCACAAGGGCGACGGGCAGGCTAGCTGAGCCGGATGTTGAGAGGTGTGTCAAAAGTTCCTCGACACCAGGTAACGGACGAGCGTTTGGAAACTCACGTAGCTGCTGCGCCGCGAGCCGAGTCGTGTACTCAATGACGGGTATATCTGCCCGGTCCAATTTCGTCAGCATGTAAGGTATAGCCTCAACCGCTGGCCTCCCTTGCAGTTGGCTCTTTATGGCCCAAGGCATAGGTCCTGCACCGTAACTGGCGAGCACTCGATTATGGCACAGTGTGTAGATGTCCTCTGTGTCAATGAGAAGGCCGTCCATGTCAAAGAGGCAGGCGCGCACGGGCACCATACTGAGCACGTTTAGCATTTGTTGCAAAAGGAAGTGCTCGTCGAAGTCATTTCTTACTTTGTCCCACGGGTCATGGAGGGAAGTATGGTCTATTCAATGTAATGGTGGATGTAGTGGCCGCGTCGCTTGTAATTGAGGATGAGCGTAGTGTCCTAAACGCCTTGAAAGTGAGAGTTTAACGGTCACGATCACGAAGCGTGCGGAGACAGAATGCTCGTGCGCCGATCCTGGTGGAGCGGCTGAAATACACCGGTAATTCGTAGTGATTCAACCGCTGTAGAAGGTTACAACTATCTGGTTGCTGTAGCACACAAAAGCAGCCTGGGAGTTAGTAGAGGTATTAGTTTTATTTATTTGACGACTATTCCCCGAGCAGACAAACATACAAGTGACTCTAGAAAGTGTATCCGTCACAGACACTCCACCAAATACGCACGAACATTGGCGCACAGAGAAAAAAAGTAGTGGGAATAAACCAGAAAGCTCTAAATATTTTACCCCTATCCCATCGTGTTAGGCCTGGACAGTATGGAGCTGGCTTGAAAACCGGTAGTACCAACATATTTCCATCAAGTTTATCAGAAACGTCTCGTGCGAAGGCGAGAGGGCGCCGTCTAGGGAAGGAAACCGCAGAAAATTTATCTTGGAGCTTGCGATTGCATTTTCTGGTGGCCGTACATCACATCTTTGCTTATCGGTTACAAAATTGATACCCATGCCACTAATTTATAACATAAACTCAAACCTGATCAACTCTGTTGTTTGATAAGCCCATCAAGCCATCGATGCCTCACCACAATATTCTATTATTAATGTGTAGATTATCCTACGGTAAGCTTGACCTCGTAAAAAAATCTCACAACATACTGATTCTGTACAAAAGTGATAGAGATATAATCAGTCACGAAGACGCCAGACTCTAGCAAGGCAACTTAGACCAAAAAAGCTAGGACGCTATGAGGGGACACTCTACTTACGACGCAGACACTTCTGGCATGTTGGAAGAAAGGACCAACATGCCCTCGTATAGTCATAGACTTGACAGGACAATGAAAACCCAAAGAGAGAGAGAGGTGTGTTCATCGTACTACTTAAGTCCTAGACTATCTAGCACATTGGGCTCCTCTCTGACCCAGCCACACCTTGTACAGTGCCCCTTGCCTCTTTTGTTACTTGAAAGATCATTGATATATTGCCCTTAATAAATAGCCCATTCAGCTCAGTATTTACCCGTGGAATTCGGCCACCTTTTCCACGGAACCTTCCACTCAAAAACAATAAAAATGGTAGCAATGGAAACTGCGTGCGCGGGAAAAAGTCTCAAAAAATCTGCAGCCGCAGCCAGGCGAAGCCTAGATACCGGGACCACATGAGGTGCGCATATTCATCTGTATCTCCCTTCTTTTTAACAGTTGAGGCCGACTTGATCCAATCCACCATCGTCGTATCGGATGCTGGGCACGCTCCGGAAACTCATCGGATGGCTTTTCCTCCATGATCAAGGGTTGGTGATGAGTAGTGCTCCGACCCTGCCATCTGATCTGATCGTGGTAAGCTTCATGATAATAGTGAAAGGGGAATGTGTTGAGAGATGAAGACGATCCAGTCGGCGAAAGCGATTGGGAATCTTCATCGAAGTGAGGACTTTGTTACTCAATCTCGGCTCTGCAGACTCTAGAGTAAGGGCTGGAGGTTGGTAGGAGACCATTGACAAGGTTGGGAACAGTCCCCCATGAAAACCCAAAAATTACCCTACGACATGAATTTTAGACTAGGCTTCCTGCATATGTCAGATGAATGATCAAAAACGTGATAACGAATACAGGGATCGTTAGACTAATCTTGCCAGAACTATGTCATTAATTTGTAATATTTTATCTTCCCTCTTTTCACCATTCAGGGTGCCTCCAGCAGTCCAATATCTATACCTATACATTTCACTTTCGCTTTATGGCTTAAGCTAAACTTATTAAAGCCTGGACCTGCTCCAATATACTAATTATCTACGAAGACAAGACACAAGGGGATCCATACTCCTTCGATATAGTCCGGTGCCATAAAGGTACACTTTAAGTAACAGCCTTCAATACGTCTACACCTCGGTCAAGGACACCACAAAATTGACTGGAGACAATAGTCGCCGACGAAATGGGGAGGACACTCTGTTTGCACACTTACTTCAGTAACCCTAGAAAGGCTAGAGCATTGATGATTTAGTCTTGAGTTCTTTTTTGCATATTCGGCCGGAACAAGTAGGGGTATAACAGCTACGAGCTTAGCTCGATGGTAGGAAATATCAACATCCTAAGATGGGTAGTTGTAGCAATTATATACTACAATAGATAATGAAATAGAAAGATAAACGAGGAATTCACGAGTCATCGGCTTAATAAGTTCAGAACAAAGAAAAAAATACATGGACGCGAGGTGAAGATGCCAAGACTGAAAGTATCGGAGAATAAATTGTTGGGAAGTGGCAAAAGCTTGGGGAGCGTGGTGATCGATTTCAGATGAATTCTGCAATATTGAAGTAACTTCAAGAGGTAATAATACGAGGCTCCCAACCACATCAATATTTCACTCCCAGCAAGATTCATTCCAACAAAAGCTGTAAACGGTCAACAAGTATTACCAAATGGTTTCTGATTTACATAAGCATACTTTACATCGACTGAGTCTCTGAACTCAGCTGACCTCCACCTGTACGCTCACGACAAAATAAACACTCATAGGAGGATAAAAGTCGTGATAAGAAAATTTGAGATGCAAATATTAGCAGGGACTCGAGAGAAATTCGGAAGTGTAGCAAGTATTGCGCTAAATATTTCTAAAATCTGAAAAGTGATTATTTATTGATGTTTGGGAAGGGAAAATTCCTTCTGAAGATCATTATGCGCCTCACCACCTCAGTGGCCAAACCAGCGGCAAAGACGCTAGTGAAAAGAACAAAGAAGTGCAACCTATAGAGCTATTCATAGATATAGAAAATCTAATTCCTGGTACACGCGCGGTTAAACAACTTGGTAGCAACGACACTGAGGTGTTTGTCCAGTTAGCGTTGCGGAAAGACGTGGCTGTCAAAGCGGGCAAACCAGAGGCATTTCTAGTAAGGCACGAGTCATCCGGCAAAATTTTCAGAAGCCCTTTGAGGACGAAACTTGAAGGGTGTATAAATACCAATAAATAGAAATTGATTTAAAAAATCTATGAAGCGACCAAGTTCAGGATCTTTTGACTGCCAATAAATAGAATTAGATAGATGCGTGATGGAAAGAAGTGCCAGCCGACAAAAAAGAATAAACATATCAGGGTTTAGACTGTTCTAAGCCTATTTGCAGAGGCCTTGCGGGAACAAGTAATTAGACTTGGCACTGTACTCTATACCCTGCTTAAATTGCGTATATAACGTGGAGTAACACAGCTCGGTATGGTGAGAGCGCTGGTGCTTATGAAACTCGAGATAGTCCCAGCGAAACGGTCTCCTGCGTTTAGTACAGCAAGATACACCGTTCATGGCAGAAATTGA